TCTCTCTCTCTCTCTCTCCGAACATCGACAATGGTGCTGGCGATTCTTGCTCACAAATTGCTGATTCGTTAAATGAGTCCCAACAAATTCTGAGAGTAAGGGGAAAATCGACAAATGTGTGCCTTTTGTGGTATCTTTAGTCTCCATTAAAATGTGTGTGTGTTTGTGTGAGTGTACATGTGTGTGTGTGTTTGTGTGTGTGTGTATGTGTTTTCTATTTGATTTAGTAAGAGTTTTACGCACTTGCAACTCAGTAATGTCATATTATAAGTGCCGAAGATTAGAGGTATTACAAAAGAGTAAATAACACAAATAAAATTAGAAGAGATAAAGATGGTAGATGTTTAATAGGAAAGAAGGAGCAAACCACACAAGAGAACCAGTCGACAACCCACAGTTTCACATTTGAATAGTCATAATTCTATGTCAGTTAAGGAAAGAAATATCGAACTTGTATAAAATCTGGATTTAGGTCTTTTTCTTTTTGTCAGATCTCTTAGTTTAGCTTGAGTAAAGTTTTACAGCGCTCGCAACTGCATAAGGTCATAATATGAGCGCCAAGGGGTGGATGTCAACAGAGAAGTCCAAGCGGGGGATCAGGCTTACTCTGCTCACCTCTCTTATCTAGCCTGAACAGCACAAAGTCTGCATCAACTATGAAGACACCCCGGAAATAGCAGTTCACAAGAGAGTGACAAGCGTATTAAAGAAGTAGAGGCAAATAACGATAGTAAGGATTAGGAAAGAAAAAGCAGAAGTTCCCCCTATGTTGTTCCGGCACAGTATGAGCATGACATTGATAAATCAGCCCATTTACCTTTCTACTGTGCATAAGAACGTGTTCGTGTTAATAGCTTCTTTTTTCTGGGGAGAGTCAGATCTCTCAACGGTTTTCTGTATTGCTTTCAAGAGTGAGGGTTACAGAATTTGATACATGTATTACATTGCCCAGCTGAACATGATTTTTTAAACTGATTATTCCGCAATAATATAAAATGGTCAGCTGCATTACTGATTGATTGATTGATAGATTGATAGATTGATAGATTGATAGATTGATAGATTGATAGGATGATAGATTGATTGATTGATAGATTGATAGATTGGTTGATTGATTGATTGATTGATTGATTGATTGATTGATTGATTGATTGATTTGTTGATTGAGTGATATATTGATTGACTGGTTGATTTGTTGATTGATTGATAGATTGGTTGATTGATAGATTGATTGAATGATTGATTCTCTCCCTTCCCTGCAGACATGGACGAGTGTCGTGACGAAGGTGAAGGTCACACCTGCCATCCCAGCATGCAATGCGTCAACACAGACGGCGCCTACAGCTGCGAGTGCAAGTCTCCGAACTCCTGCAACTCCGGTCAGTGGTGGTTTCTTTTTTATGTTCTCACCTGTCTGTGGTTTATGTTTACGTGTGTGTTTATTTGTTGGTTTGTTTCTTTTTTATGTTCTCACCTGTCTGTAGTTTGTGTTTATGTGTGTGTTTGTTGGTTTCTTTTTTATCTTCTCATCTGTCTGTAGTTTATGTTTATGTGTGTGTTTGTTTGTTTGTTTGTTTATTAATGTACTCACCACCTGTCTGTAGTTCATGTTTATGTGTGTGTGTTTGTTTGTTTGTTTCTTTTTTATCTTCTCACCTGTCTGTAGTTTATGTTTATGTGTGTGTTTGTTTGTTTGTTAATGTACTCACCACCTGTCTGTAGTTTATGTTTATGTGTGTTTGTTTGTTTGTTTGTTTGTTTGTTTGTTTGTTTGTTTGTTTGTTAATGTACTCACCACGTGTCGGTATTTTATGTTTATATGTGTTCGTTTTGTTTGTTTGTTTGTTTGTTTTGTTTGTTTGTTTGTTTGTTTGTTTGTTTGTTATTGTACTCACCAACTTCTATTTTTGTTTGTTTGTTTGCTTGTTGTTTTTTATTTGTTTGGTTTGTTTATTGTTTGTGTGCTTGTTTGCTTGTTTTGGCTAGTTTGTCTATTCGTTTGTTTGTTTTTATTTAACGGGTTATTTCGACCAGACAGTCATCAATACGTCGCTCATTACTACAGATACCTGTCATTTTTTGCTCGTCTACTTTTTGAAGTCTTTAAGGGTTGTTTCTTTTGTTCGTTTTATTTTTCCTCCATTTAATACCAACTTTTCAACAAAAAAGGAGACAGCTGCGCCATCGAAACACCTTGTTGGAAAGGTTTGTGGGAAAATGTCTGTTATGTTCTCGCTTCCTTTCTATACAGAGAAAAATTCTCTTTGTGTCAGTTTTCGTTACATTGTCAAAACAAAGAAATTTTTTTAACTCCCTTTGTTTCAGTTGTTGTTAGATTGTTGACAAACATTAAACAAACAAACAAGCAAACAATCAGGCAAACTAAACAGCAACAATAAGCAATGCATAACAAGAGTTTAAAAAAAAGAAGACTAAAAAAACAACCTCTACTTTAAAGGGAAATAGCTTTGTAAAGACTCCTAAACACTCACGTATATTCCACGGTTATTTCCCTTGGCAAATTTGCTTCGCTTTTGTCTCCTGACTAAATCGTCTTCCCTCTGACCCCTGACCTTAACGTGACCCATCTCTTCCGTGACCTTACCGTGACCCCTTTGACCCCTGACCTCATTGTGTCCCCTCTGTCCCATGACCTCATTGTGTCCCCTCTGACCCCTGACCCTGTCATCTCCCCTCTGCCCCCTGACCTTACCTTGACCCATCTCTTTCGTGACCTTACTGTGACCCCTCTGATCAATTACCCTATCGCCTCCCCTCTATCCCCTGACCTTACCGTGTCCCCTCTGACCCCTGACCTCACTGTGTCCCCTCTGACCCCTGACCTCATTGTGTCCCCTCTGACCCCTCACCCTATCGTCTCCCCTCTGCCCCCTGACCGTACCGTGACCCATCTCTTTCGTGACCTTACTGTGACCCCTCTGACCCCTGACATTACTGTGACCCCTCTGTCTCATAACCAGGGTGCATC